GAGTGCTGGAAATCCAAACAGAATGTAGGATCATGGTATCATGTATGGTGAAGATGTCCAAAAATGAAAACTTATTGGGGAAAAAATACATATTACAATTGAAAATATATTAAAATTAAAATTAAAATTACACCCAGAGCTATACTTGTTAAACATGACAAATAGAATAGACCCAAATATAGAAAGGAAATATTGGAAGATCCTCCTTTGTATGGTAATGGCCGCAAGGATACAAATTGCTTCAAAGTGGAAACAAGAAAAGATTCCAACAATCGATGATTGGCTTTCCAAATTAATTGAAATGAAAGAGAAGGACAGATTAACAAGAATACTTACGGTAATGATAAAGATCCAGAATTAATCAATGAAGATTGGGCTCCAATAGAAGTATATTTAAAATTAAGATGGGAATAAATTGGCAAAGCTAGTAAGTAGAAAGTAATCAACATAGATATTGAAAAAGAATTGTTTAAAGATATGGTCTTTTTGTATTATAAGAGTATCAATTAACATGTTAAGAGATATAGAAAGATAAAATTTAGGGGGAAAGATACATGTGCTTACTTTTGAAGAAGGAGAAGTGTATAGAAATGTATATAGGTAGTAGATGGAGAAGACTAATGTATTACACAAATAATATTTTATGTATATTTTTAAATTAATAAAATATAATTTACAAAAAAAATGCAAGCAGTGGTCTCTAGGACTCATCCCTTTACCCCTCTGATGCTACAGGGCCAGATATCTAGCTACAGGGGCTGCAGAAATAATAAAGTGTATGTGTGTGTGTGCATGCACACACACACCTTTAAAAAGCCTATGAATGTATGGGGAGCCTGTGAATTTCCTAGGGTTTTCTTGCATGAGGAATCCTCAAAAGTGAGTTTGCCGTTCCTTCCTCTGAAAGCTAGCCTACAGCACCTAGTATTATTCCCTGGCGGTCTCACATCCAAGTACTAACCAGGGCTGACTGACTCTGCACATCTTCCAAGATCAGGATGTTGTTGGTCTGCAGCTCCCAGCATTCCTCAGCCAACCCCCAGAGGTCATAGAAAGTGTGACTATGGGGGGTTGCAGACTGCCAGAAATAGTGCAAATTGAGTCCACTTTTAGGGTTAGGGTTAGTGCTAGGGAATCATGGGAATTGAGCCTTCTCTGTCAGAGAGCTCTGGTGCCACAATAAAATACAGTTCCCATGATTCCCTAACCCTAACCCTTAAAGTGGACTCAATTTGCACTATTTCTGGCAGTCTGCAACCCCCCTGTGTGACCAATCCAAAGGGTGGCCATGCAGTGGGATGGCATCTGGGTGGACAGGAGAGATTATTGGAGGTCACAGCTAGTGTCTTTGTGTTATGGTGTGCATGTATGTTGGGGAGACAACAAAAAATATTACCCAGCAGTGTGGCTTGATGACACGCCATGCTGTCAGACCATGCGTGTTCAGTCTGCCTTGGGATTGGGCCATGTGGACAATAGGGTTTCTACCGCTTTGAGAAAAAGCAGATCAAGCCGCTTTTTCCTGCTCGTCTGTTCAGACCTGTTAAAATACAGACAAATTACCATGGCTGTATTATGTACAACTTAAATATAAGAAAGAAATGCTAAAATACTAAAAGTTGTAATCTTCAACAGTGATAATACTTTTGAATTCATCACAACCAGTAAGGAAATTTGGCCATGGTTACCTGTTACTGTTTGTTTCACTTCTACCATTACAAGGGCCAAATACCATCATTGAATATTTGGATGTTTTGATAGAACAGAACATTCTCTATGATCATAGCAGAATTTAGATACAAAGAACATGTGAGGCATGGCTTCTATAATAGGAGTAGGAATCAAGAGGCCTTCCAGATGTTGATGGACAGCATTGGTTATGTTGAGTTGGGCTGCAGGGATTTGTAGTTAACATTCAGTGCGACTCTTGGGACTCATTCTTGAAAAAGTTACCCTAGTTATCATCTAGCATGGCAGATGGCAATCAAACTCTAGCAAAAATCAAACAATATCAAGTCAGGATAGCTCTGTCCTTATTCTCTTTCCATGGGCAGGTGAAAATATTTTTGTGCCATTAAGAGTTTAGAAAGGGAATGCTGCACAGTGCTGTTTTTATGGTTTGAAAGCCAGTGTGGCATAGTGGTTTGAGTGTTAGACTACAACTCTGGAGACCAGGATTTGAATCCCAGCTCAGCCATGGGACCCATTGGGCGACCTTGGGCAAGTTACATGCTCTCAGCCTCAGGGGAAAGCAATGGCAAACCTCCTCTGAACAAATCTTGCAAAGAAAACTTCATTATAGGTTCACCTTAGGGTTGCCAAAAGTAAGAAACAACTTGAAGGCACACAACCACAACAAATAGATTATTTTAAAACAAATTTTAATGTTTTTAACTTTATAAATTGCTTGTAAAATAACTTATATTTCTGGGTTGTTGGGGGTTTTGTTGAAGTTTTTGTATTGTTGTTAATCTGTATTGTTTTCAGATATGTCGATGGCCATCTTGAATCTCATTATTGGGAAGGGGATATAAATGAATATAGCATACAACAAACAACAAGAGATTTGTCTGATGGCAAAAAGTATGAAAATGGGGGTGCCAGACAACTCTTTCTAGGGAAAGCCACCCACAGATAAAAGGTGTCTTTCTTCAGAGTAAGCACCCAGAGGTCATAGAAAATACTGATGCTTTTATGACAGTGGCCAGTTTTGTGCACATTCCCGTACAAAATCAACCAAGGCAGTAGCAACCCCAGTGTCGGTGGAATAATTTATAGCTACTTGTAGGAGTGCTTGAAAAGACAGACAAATAAAGCTAGGTCTTGAAGTACCCATAGGATTTCACACCCTTTCCCAGCAAAGCCTGCACTAACATTAAGTGGAAGTTTCTCACCAAAATCTGATTAAATGTGCCCTTTTGGAGGTCCCCATGATACACATCCTACCTCTCAATTCTTTCCAGACTTTGGGGTCAGACAGTGACCAGACACGCAAATAACAGTCAAATTATGCAGGAAGTTGTCAAAAGAGTCCTAGCCCAGGCGAGCCTGACCTTTGACCTCCCTCCATGTCAAAGGGCCAGTTCAAGTTTCTTTCGAGTAATCTGTCACCATGGCAACTCCCTTTGAGTGAATCAATTTGTACATTTTGCTTCTAACGCCTGCCTCCTAGTTATGAGTGTGTGGATTGTGGATTTATATATGTACATGTGTATCTAACAGAAGATATCATTTGAACAAGATTTTGTTTTACAGTAATAAGGACAACAAGGAAGGAAGGAAGGAAGGAAGGAAGGAAGGAAGGAAGGAAGGAAGGAAGGAAGGAAGGAAGGAAGGATACCATCCACCAGTTGTAATGAAATGAATGGGAGTGGAGGGAGGAGAGTAATGATATACTTTTTAAGCATCCATTCCTTTCAATGTGGGTCCCCCACCACAAAATATGTTTTCAGTAGACGGTGTCCTATGAAAATTTAACTCTGCGAATCAATTGTGTAGGCAAAGGGAAAAGGTGACACAACCACTGCTTCCAAAATTTTAAAACATTTTTAAGAAAACACGTTTTTAAAATATTCTTTTTAAAAAACAAGCAAAGGTTATACAGTCAGCCCTCCATATCCACTGATTTTTTTTATCCACAGGTTCAAGCAACCACACTTTGAAAATATTAAAATATATATATATAAATTCCAAAAAGCAAAACTTGATTGTGCCATTTTATATCAGGGTCACCATTTTACAATCAATTGTATTTAATGGGACTTGAACATCCACAGATTTTGGTATGCACACGGGGTCCTTGAACCAAACCACAGTGGATACGAAGGGCCCACTGTATTCTGGTACTTAGCCTAGAAGATATATTGTCTTGGGAGCCAGCATAGTGTAGTGGTTGAAGTGTTGGACTATGACTCTAGAGAAAAAAATTTAAATCCTTGCTTGGCCATGGAAACCCACTGGGTAATCTTGGACAACCCACGCCCTCTCAGTCTCAGAGGAAGGAGAAGGTAAACACCTCTGAACAATTCTTGCCAAGAAAACCCCATGGTAGGTTTACCTTTAGATCACCATAAATCAGAAATGACTTAAAGACACACAACAGCAAGAATAAATTTTCCAAATTAAATAGTATCTTCCTCAAATATTTTCAGCTATTGAGTCTAACTATTTTATGTTTTCTTTTCTCCACTTTTGTATTAATAACAATTGTTAATATTCCCAGTTCAGTTACTGCTTTGCTGACAGCATTTGAACAACTCTGGTTGCCTATGTGGACTGGAAAAAACAAAATGTGGCCCTGTAGGCTCTGATGGACCTCTCAGCCAATTCAAGACCATCAACCACAGCTTCTTTCTAGACTGCTGCTTCAGGATCACACTTGGAGGCATTGGTTTAGAGTGGTAGTGCTACAAATGCCATGGCCATTAGACTGTGAGTTTAGTCAAGGTTCTGTCTTCTCCTCCATGTTAATTAACACACATATGAAATTTCTGGGACAAGTTGTCCAAAGAGCTGAAATTCAGTGCCATTAGTATAACAAAACTTTTATTTTGTTCTGTATATCTAAATCTAAGGAAGGTGTTGTAGTTCTAAACAAGTGTCTTATGTCAAGAATGGAGGGGAGGATGGAATACAGTCTAGAGGAGTATAATCTATTGGAAAGAGAAATGCTCTCAAGCAATCAAAGGCAGATTAGGGGATAAGGATTAAAACTATGCTGAGTGACATTATACTCCCCCTGAAGACTCAAGTGCACAGCTTTTAATGCAAAATTCTTGATTTCAGCTCTGCATCTGGTTGCCCAGGCTCATGTGATGTGTGTTTGCACTATTAAAACTACCATGCCAGCTGAGCCTGTTCCTCAAGATCTATGATCTAGGTTGGCCATAGTGATGCACAGTCTTGTAACATACTATTTGAATTACCATAATATTCTTTGTGTTGGGCTGCCTTCTAAAAGTGTTCAGAAACTTCAGCCAGTCCAAAATGTTGTGGCCAGTGGTTAACAAAGACTGCTTGCAGGGAGCAAGTGACTTCTTTGTTATGACAGGTTCATTCACTACTAGTCCAATTCTGGTCACAATTCAAAATCCTGGCTACGGACTATAAAGCCCTTGGTAAATTTGTTCCAGGTTATTTTTTACATCAATCTGCTTACACTCTAAAATCATTGTGGGATATCCTTCTATCATTCCCTCTATTTTTTGAGGCACATACATTGCAATGCAAGACAAAACTCTATGTAGCCATTACCAGGTTGTGGAGTGACCTTCCCAAGGGCATTATTAGTTTCTGTTACTTCTGTTGTTATTATTGTTGTTGCATGTCTTCAAGTCATTTCCAAAATATGGAAATGGTTCACCATAGGGTGAACTTATCATTGGGTTATTTTGGCAAGATTTGTTCAAAGGAGGTTTGCCATTGCCTTCCCTTGAGGCTGAGAGCATGTGACTTACTGAAAGTCACCCAGTGGGTTTCATGGCTGAGCGGGTAATTGAACCCTGATTTCCAGGGTCATAGTCCAACCAGTGCTCTACATTGGCTCTCTGGTAAGCAAATACCATTTTACTCAAGAGGGCCTTTGGCATCCAATCTTACTGCTCAAGGGGCCTGTGGTTGGCTGCTGCACTTTCTTTTATTATATGCTTTGAAATTGTGGTTTAATTTGCTTTTATTAATTTTATGTCTTAGCTGTGTTTGTTCACTTTATCACAAGGCACCTTGAGCCCAATTTTTCTGGCATTATAAAATAAATGAATAAATCAACTCATAAATTATGAGAATGAATTCAGGAAGTGCTATACAAATTTTTGGCAATCATGATTATCTTCAGAATGTATAATTTCTCCCCTAAAAGTCAGCTAGTACTAGGGGAGACAGAACAGTGAAGGGGCGTAATGAGAGAGAATGCTTAACGATCAGTTTTTATTGCTATTTTTGTGAGGTTTTATTATTGTGCATTTTCATAAAACAATATTTAAGCATTAGGGATGGAATAGTTGTAATTTTACAGATGAGCAAGTTTTAGAGTTTCCAACTCTGTTTCTAAAGGTCTCAGTCAATGAGGCAATTCCAACTTTTATTTGAGCTGGTATAAATTTAAGACCACCCAGTGAAATCAGGGGAAGTTACTTTAGATTGTTATCAGCCGCTTAACTTAGAACACGATAAGTCTTCATGCTTTTCAATCCTTCCACAATCTGGTTTTGCTCTGCTCTGCTCTGCACTGACTGCTTATTAGCTTAAAGAGCCTTCTATCATAGAGATCCAAATGAATAGCCTTTTGCAGGCAATAGTACTGCATATAAAGTGGAATATGATTGTTCCACAGGAGCATGCATCCTCAAATCTGTTAGGCTGGATCTTTTGGTGTGCTTGACATGCATATGTTGGCTATTGTGTTACATAGAAATCTACATAGAATAATGAATAAAAAATGTGTGATAAACTGGAGATTCCAAATCAGAAGATCTGGACCATTTTCATTCTCCATTTTTCAATTACTATCCAGAAGGGAATAAAAATTGTCCAGTCTTGATTAAGGAAGGTTATGTATATGTCCAAGGCTTCTAATCCTTGAAAAGATATTTCCCTGTCCTCTCCAAGAATTATGCAAGCCTAAAACATAAGGGACTCCTTCTACTACTGTAAGACCTTTCATCTGCCTGTTTTCTTCCTCCTGTCCCTTCCTGCATTTTCCCAGACTTGCCAATTATGACAGCATGGAGGAGAGAAAATTATAGCCAAGGGGACAAGCATAGCCTGGGATGGCTTCTAACGTATTCCTTATTCTCTGTAATAAAGACAGAGGCCACATTACTGAGAGCCCACAGTGCTGAGATGAATTCAGGTAGATGTAATTTTTTTATTCATCAGAGGAATAAGACAAGATGTTTAAAAATCCCACATTTCTTAAAGCTCACACTAGTAATACAGGCTCCAGATAACAGACCTTGACATTTTCCTCTGCCACATCTTCTTCAACTCGTAGCAAACGTCTTGGGCTAGGATAGAATTGGGCCACCCCTCTGGATTGTCTTCATTGTCATGGCCTTCTCCAAAAATGTTAACTCCTGGTTCTTGAAAAACTTGAATTATCATGGAAAAACCTGAACTAGTGATTAATTTCCAGGAAAGAAAAAAAAATAAACCCCGCAATTGTAACCACTGGGCATAAATATGGTGCTCATCCCTGAC